CTGGTACCCCATGAAACAGTACTTACAAATTGTTAAAGGCATGCTCAATGATCCAGTACGGCCCATTTAACAAACCACACCCTCGTTGTTCACAATGCGTTGGGTGGACACCGTGCATAGACTTGAAGCATGATCTTGGTCATTGGTAATTAAAAAGATCGGCTTTAAATAGTTCTTTCCCTCCGAACAAAGATGTTTACCATATAAAGCAGATCCAGTACCAAGCCGAAAGGAACGGGCAATTCCTACTTAACGTTCATGCAAAGCATCCAAAAACACTTGCAAACGTGCTTCCTAATTTAGAGTTCCTAGGATACTAATCACTAAGTACAGTTCAGGAAACTAGACAAAAAGAGGGGAAGATTGGGAAAATAAAGCTTCGGTGCATAATCCGCAACCTCCCTTCACGATTTGTATCGTAGGGTCGACCTTCGACTTTAATCGATAACCTACCTTGTAGATTGGTATCCTACCTTCAGGTGCGCTTCTCAGATGAACCATAAGTGTTGAAAAAGTGTTGATTAAGTATTGAAAAAGTGTTGAAAAAGTGTTGATTAACTGTTGATTCTCCTTCAGCAACTGTTGAAAATACTGTTGAATTTTTGTACAATGTTTTCAACACTTTTACTGCAAACTACTACACTGTAGTACTGGATTCAACAGGAGTTGAAAACAGTGTTGAACTGTATTCAACAGTGTTGAAAAAGTGTTGAAAAGGTGTTGAAAAAGTGTTGAAAAAGTGTTGACTAAATGTTTAAAGAATCTCTTGACTGTTGAAACAAAAATCAACACTTTTACATAGCCTTTCAGTGATTTCAGCATTCGCGGGACTTTCCTGGTACCGATATCAATTAAATCCACTGGTATCATACATGTATGATACCGCCGAGTCCTCAGACTCTGACGGCACTGTACAGTAACACCAAGTCAAGAGACGGAGAAAAGAACAAATGGAAGATTTCATCGAGAGAGTGAAAGGCCTTACCGTCAGTGATTTAGGAAAGTCGAGTATCGATGAACTGGAAAGGGAAATCCGTGGTGATGACGATGGCGACATGATGAAAAGGTCGTTGCTTGAGATGAGGCTACGGGCTCTTGAGTCTGAGGCGAAATTGAACGGGACGTACCTGGAGGACTGTGATGGACTTTGGAAGTTCACTCCCCGTACGATCCCTGAGGGAAAAGAGGAACAGTTGAGACTATTTGACAACATTTCAAGAAATACTCTTCGAAAATACTACAAAGACGTAGGCGAAACATTCGAATTGGATCCGAACAACCTCCCTGATGCAGAGATGAAATCACTGGGTTCCGCTTCATTCTCTGTGAGAGGCAAACGTGACATTTTCAACAACCCGTTTATCCTATTGCGAGCTCATCTCATTCCTGACTCGCAAGTATGTGCGCCAAAGTGGGTCATTGTGCGGAAGGTGCTCTTCGGCCCCTCAACTTCGAGGAAACAAAGAAGCATGATGCAAGGAAGCTCTTGGTGATGGGCTATTCTGGATCCCATAAACTACGAAGGAAGCCACAGAACTTTATTACATTCTCGGGTCCCAAAGAAGTTTATGATGTTGATCCTAGCGTCATGATCATGCCAATTATGTCCCTGGACTCCGTGCGCGAGGACTGGCAAGATGATATCTCCTTCGATGCTCTGGTAATTGCTAGTGAGATTAAAAAGCCAGGATCCGACCAAGCACGCTCCGCCAGTACCAGGTAGTACCTACCGGCACATTATGAAATTCTCCGAATACAAGGATGAAATGTTCTGTACAGACCAAGACATTGAGACAGCCACGGCGTTGATTCGTGATTTTCAAAAAAGATGAGGAAGAAGTCTACGAGATCTTGCTTGCACTTCATGAATATGAAATGAGGCGCCGCCAGACAAACCTTCCGGACGAGGTGAATTGTTCTGTGATTGGAGAAATGCCTCACAATCGTAGTGGCGCCGACGTGGTGGCGCCTCCTCAGGAAGGAGAGGACGACTGGGAAACTCTGGGGGATTAAGAACCCCAGGCTGTTTCAGCTGAGCTTCCGCCTCCAATACTAGCTCTAGTACCGGTACGAGCTCTGGTTGTTGCAATCTACCAGCCAGAAGACTGGTTCCATTGCTCAAGACAGGTTCCATCCTGGGTGGTCCCTGGAATACCGCGGAACAGTTCTTTTTGTCCCTCCCAGCGCACAGTACCGGTACTGGTACTGGTACCAGCAGTTGGTTCACCGCACTGGTACTGGCGTGCCCTACCAATAGAAGCACCACTACTAAACAACACCACATCAAAAATCAAGCCACCACCATCATTTTTTCTTGTCCCTCCTCCCTCCTCTAAAGTAGATGTACTTTGTCACTCTCATGGTAACATTCAGAAGGTACTTCCAACACCCACTTTGTCAACATTGACATGCCCATCGCAGCCATTCAATCTAGAAGCCCATTCGGTGGCAGTGTAACTACTCAGGAGCTAGCCAACTGGAGGTTGCCGTTTTCTCTTGATTTTTGACTTTCGGGCATCAGTGGCCATGGAGGAAGCCATTTCATAAGCTAAAATCAACTCTACATTCCTCAGTGGTGGTACCAATGGATACAAGGAAGTGTTGCATGGGAAAAAAGCACTTCCAATTTTCCATTGAAGAAGTACTGGTATCGATCGATCGATGATCGATCGAACGACGACAGGAACGACGACAGCAACTGCCACGGCGACAACGACGAAAAGTTGCTTCTGCTACTGATACTACTACTAATAAAAGCCATCGGTTGTCGAAACCGATACCGATACCGATATCGATATCGGCAACAGCGTCGGCAACAGCATTGGCAACCCTGTCGGCAATTCCATTGTTGATCCACACAAAAAATTTCAGCAGCATTGCTTGTGTGTGGAGCCTTCTAAAGGATAAAAAACTATCCAGTAGCGGGAAAGTCTAAAGGTGGTGTTTTAGATTATCATGCTATTAGTTGAAAGCTTATCATGCTATTAGTTCAAAACATGGAGGGGTTGCCTTCGGCCTTCGGCCTCCAACAACAGACCCAAGCTGCCTCGTGAATAACACAGGGAAACTGCGGGTATCCAAAATGTGGTGTCACTAAGGTCAAAGATTTAGAGGGGAACTTGAAGAAGACTTAAAAAATACATTATCTTAAAGGTAAGAGTATTCGGGTTCCGTAACCAGTGTTGTGACTGGTAGCAATGGTTGGTTGGTAACTTGGGAGGGCGGTTTTTTGTGTGTCACGGATACTGTACGGTATAGTGGGTACTGGGTTCGCGTTTTCTTAAAATCAAGTCTTATTGAATGGCTACCTTGAAATTAAGAGTTCTTCGAGGACTCCTATTACCCACAGCTTGAGATCCCGAACCAGAACTCCTCTTTTGAAATAAATGATGCAAGTGGGTTGCAGCCACACCTAGGGGTACTAGTAGTAGTATTTGCTAGTAGAGTTGAGGAGTGTAATGGAAACTACTATAAACTATGCACACACCATAATATTCCAGGTAATGGGCCACTTGAACCACAGGTGAACAACGGTGGTTCAGATCAGGTTCAGTTCAAATGGTTCAGATTGCCTTATAAATGCTGATGCTCAAGGAGTTTCACCCCACTTTCCACCATCCTCCAATCACTCCTCTTACACACACACAAAATTCGCAGATGGAGGTTTTGTTGTTGGTATCGTGTTATTCTCGTGTTATTTCATTCTTAAAACCAAGGAACACAATATCCCGGGGACGTAGAACATCCTTAAACTCTTTTGATTATTTCCTATTTATGACAATCTTCTCCTAAAAATGAATTGTCTCCTAAATCTTTCATCATCTCATAAATTCAACTGATCGTCTTCTATTCTCAACGGATCGCCTCCTAAGCGTACGTGTAAAACTGTATAGGATTGTATCTTAAGTTTCAGCACCCTCCCACAGATTATGTGGAATGAAGAGTTTCTAAGAGATTGGAACTGACGACTGACGAACGGTCAATAAAGAACAGACCAAAGATTGGTTGGTTCGAGGGTCTTGCATGCTGGTCGCCAGATGCAGGCTGGTTGGAATGTTGGAATTGAGAAGTAACATCAGCAGGGAAATTCGTTGGAGACAAGAAGACACTTCTTCAAAACAGTAGCACTTACCGACTACACAGGGGTTTAAATTACTCATTTAGCTTAACAAGCTATTGGCCACGGAGTGACTTTATTGACACGGGCAAGTGGTGGGGGAGATCCCCACCTAGCTGAGTCGTCATCTACTTGTTTGCCCAATCAACATGACCTCATCCACTGGCCCAATGTGGAGCCAGCACCAAGTAGACAGATGCCCTGGGTGGGGGTGAGCACATTGATAGGAAACCTGCAGCGCAAAACCTGGGTTACAGGGGCTTACACAGGATTTTGTCGATATTGAAACCATTATCACCAAAGGGGCCGTGAGGACCAGATAGATTGCCAGACCAAAGAGTGCTCGCCAGTAAGTGTGTCTGGGTGATCAGGTCCCAAGCTGTGGCAAGTGCCTTGGCATGCAAGGCAAGATGCCAGCAGAGCCCGTAGGAGGTGGTACTCCTCAGGCTGGACCAGAGCAGGGTGTAACCCATCCAATGTACAAAAATTGTTGGATAGAGGCCAACAAGCAGGCAAAAGATGGGGTCAAATAACACACTGGCAGTCTGTGGTTCCCAGGAGGGAGGCACAGTGGCTGCTGGAGTGTTGTGGGCTGTTCGAGGGGTTGTTGAGTCAATTGCACTACGCTAAAAGCTAGTGTAAAGATCTTTCGAGTGTTTTGAGTTTGAGAGAATGAAAGTTATGAGAGAGATTAGAAAGCTACGAAAACTAATCCATGAGAGCAGAGATCGTTGTGAAGCTCATTGAAGTTGGTCTCCCGCGGGAGGCCTCGAAGTGTGATATCGTAGGTTATGGCAATAACTCTACGTACTCCACGGTCCATTTCCGGAACACGTGGAAACTTCAGCTAGTAGCTGTCTAGTAGCGTGGAAGCTTTCCACGCCGGCTAAATATCTAGAGCGATGTTTCATCGACAACCTAGTATGACTAGCAGTCATGAGAACCCTGTCTCAATGACTATTCGCGAAGGACTACGTCATGAGTCGAACTCAAACCCTATCTAGGATCGAGTCGCGAATAAGGCTAAGAGCCGTGTATTGCATTCGCCCCCTGACAAGGGTCACAGAAGGCATGACATCAGTCGGACAAGGAGAACATATGAATTAAAGTGCGGGGCACTCTCCGGAGATTGGATGTAGACATGTGCGTCGCACGATGGCAATCCTACAAGGGGATCAGGTCTTGTATGGGTGTAAATACCTTATGTTCCAAGTCTGGTAGACTGTGCCGCCATTGGCGGTAGCATGTCGGAGCCGTACAGTGCCATTGTTATTGACTCGGTCCATACTCATTCCAGCAGCAATTCCACCAGACGGAGCCAATCCTTTCGGAGCTGTGGTGTCGCAAAATATACGCTTTGCTTCAGGATTTCGATACCCTTGGTGGATCGCAATACGGTAGCAATCAGTAGT